ACTGAGGGCTCTGGCTTCTATGATTGAATCTATTCATTGCATGTTGGGTCTTCTTGTTTGGTTTGGTATAGTGGTTAAGTGTGTGGAATCTAATCTAGGAGAACCAGGTTTGATTCCCTACTCCTCCACTTGCAGCTGCTGGATGACCTTGGGGAAGCCATAGTTCTGTCAGAGCTGTTCTCTCAAGGACAGTTCTGGAAAGAGCTCTCTCAGCCCCACCTATCTCACAGGGTATCTGTTGTGGGGAGGGTAAGGGAAAGGCGTTTGTAAGCTGCTTTGAGTGAAGGGTGGGGTATAAATCCAATTTCCTCCTCCTCCTCTTCTTCTTTTTCTGCTGCCTTCAATTTTTCCTAGCTTCACTGTGTTTTTCAGTGCCTCTTGTCTTCTCATAATGTGATCAAAGTACAATAGCCTCAATTTGGTCATTTTTTTATTCCAGGGAGAGTTCAGGTTTGATTTTATCTAGGACCCACTTATTTGACTTTTTGGTGTTCCATGGTATCTGCAAAACTCTCCTCCAGCACCACATTTCAAACGAACCAACTTTCCTCCTGTCAGCTTCCTTCATTGTCCTGCTTTCACATACATACATAGTAAAGACAGGTTGTATACCTGTAACTGATAATCTTCGAGTGGTCATCTGTGCATTCATACCTCTGGGATATAGTGTACCTGCACTGACCTCGATCGGTACTTCTTAGAAAGCGAAAGGGAAAGGTCTGAAGCCAAAGTGGGTTTCTCTGTGTTCGGATGCATTCAAGGCTGCCTTATTTCATGCGGCTGCCTTGGTTGCTTTGGGCCTTGGTAGTTTTCCATTTTGAAGTCACTCTTTCAGAATTGGGGTGGCTTCCACTGCTGCAGCTATGGGATATCAGGGACCTGACATCCAAAGAATTGGCAGGTGGCGGTCAGCACGTTACAAAACGTATGTCCAGACCTGCAAAGTTTGAGCTGCTCATTCAGTTTGTTATAAATGGAATGGAGCATGCTATTTTTGAGCCTTGGGGTTCTTGTCTTGTTACGGTTAACCTAGTTTCTGTTTCAGGTGCTGTTGGTGGCCGTCAAAGGAGCCGGGTACTGATATGTGGCCACAGTATGGTGTTCTGGGCCGGGCACCGGGCCAAGAGAATGACCATCGGATCCCAGTTGGGATGCAGTGAGCGGGCAGAGGTCGAGTGGCTTGGCCAAAGAGGCATGCACTGGCCTCAGTTGATGCCGCTACTGTTTGGGTAGAGACGTGGTCCTCCGCCTGATGTTTTGGTGATACACCTTGGTGGTAATGATTTGGGTCTGATGAAAGGTAAGGCCCTAGTCATTCAGGCCAAGGCGGATTTAGCTGGTATTGCAGACCGTTGGCCTGGAGTGCAACTGGTCCTGTCAGCAATGTTACCGCCGTCAGGTGTGGCTCAGCCTAGGCGATCCTAGGTGTTTGGACCGGGTGAGGCGGAATGCCAACCGGCAGCTTAAGAACGCCATGGAGGGCAGTTTGGGCATCTTTCTGTTGCACCCGGATATACCGGTTGAGTTCCCTGACCTGTACAGGGGAGATGGGGTGCATCTTTCTAACAAGGGCAACGACATTTCTTTTTTCAGATCTCAAGCGAGGGGTCCTGGCGGCGCTGGATCGCATGGTGGGGGCCAAGGCCTAAGCAGAAGCTTGGCCTTTACTGTGGCGGGGTAGCGCAATCTGGATGGAAATGGTGAGCACCGGGGCATGGTTATAAAGGAAATAAAGGGTCCTCCAAGAACGGCTTTCGGGCCTTTGCAGCTCAAGGCCGGGAAGGGGTGATCTTCCTGGGAACAATCTGGCTCGGCCTACCTTAGCAGGTCTTTGCGGCTTCTGGGATGGTGGGTCAGGGGTTCTCTTGAAGATGCCACGCTGCTGGTCGAAAAGCTACCTGCCGTGGCTTGAGATCGGAGCAGGTGCATCGCCCAGAAGGGAATGAAGGTGGTCAGGAGTTTGACACCTGTCATATTCCTCAGTACATTTCTGGTAACCCCTCACTAGTATTTGTTGTTATTAAATAATTAATAAAGTGGCCCTTATTAAATCCATATTGGTGTCTGTCTCTTTATTCTGACTCGGGGGGGGCAAAGAATTTTTTCTAGCTCCTTCATGGCTGCCCTTCATAGTATCAGTCTCCCTCTGATTTTTTGGTCGTAGTCTCCCTTTTGGTTGATGATGGAGACAAGGAATAAAATTTTTTGAACTACTTAAATTTCTTCATCATCAAGTTCAGTAATTTCCCAGCACTCAACTTTAGAACACAGATTATTTATTTATTTATTAGACTTTTATCCTACTCCTTTCCCCACCAAGCTGGGCTCAGGGCAGCTTCCAACAATTAAATGAACAATAAATATATAATTAAATACACAATAACTATACAATGTAATATAATAAATCCATCACAATTTAAAACCAGTCTTACAGTCAATCCAGCATAACAGATGGCACCCTGACAAACCTTCAAGGTGGATAACTAAGGAGGCAGCCAGTACAGGGAAATTTTTGGACAAACTGTGGGGGGGGGGGGTTTTTAAAAAGATCTTTCTAGCCATACCTGTCATCAACCATACGCCCAGTGGAATATCTCCATATTAACAGGTCCTGTGGAACTGAACCAGATCCCACAGGGCTTGGATCTCATTATGGATCTCACTGGACAGAGAGTTCCACCAGGTTGGGGACAGAGCTGAAAAGTCCCTGGTCCTGACCAGTGTTCCCTCTAAGCTGAGTTAGTGTGAGCTAGCTCACAGTTTTTTAGCCTCCAGCTCACAATTTTTTGTCCTAGCTCAGGAAGAATGGCTCCAGAGCAAACTAATTGATGCAGTAGCCAAATGGCTCACTCACAACTTTAATGCCAGAAGCTCACAAAGTAGAATTTTTGCTCACAAGACTCCACAGCTTAGAGGGAACATTGGTCCTGACTGAGGACAACTGGATCATTCTGGGGCCAGGAATTATCAGTAAATTGTTACTGGATGAGCACAATGCTCTCTGAGGGGTATATAGGGAGAGGCGGTCCTGTAGATAAATTCCAGTGTACAATTTTCTTTTGTATTAAACACACACACAAGGACCTTAAATAGTGGGGCAAAGATTGCACTCCTCTTTGCTGGATTCCTGTTTAGATAGGGTAGTAGAACAAAATGTGATAGACCGTTATCCTTCACCAGGAATTTGAAGTGGCACCTTAGCATTCTCCACTTCATTTTGGTATATGTCTAGACTGGGCCTGAGTCACATTGAAACCAAAAGGATGAGTTAATCTTAACTAACTAAAAGCATCATGGATCTCAGCTGAACATACAGCCCAATCCTATACATGTTTATTCAGAAGCAAGCTTCACTGAGTTCAGCGGAGCTATCCAAGTATACAAAGGACTTCAACCTTACTAACAATAGCCAGATTAGAGCTGTGTGAAATAGCCTAAACAGCTCTAACAGTGGAAAAGCTAGAAGTTAGGATTCTTTCCCCTTGTTATTTGGGACTACTAGGTTATTTTATGTGGAGTGTGAGCTAAGCATATAGCTCTATAATTCTAGTCACAAAAACACAATGAACAGGATGAACCTAAACAGTGTTACACCCTCTAAACTATTGACTTCAGTGGACTTAGAAAAGCATAATTTTGTTTAGGATTGCACTGTAAATTAAAGGACTTGTTACACAGCTCTCTGGAGAACAGAGTTCCAAACCACCAACCAGTTTTGCTGCAACCCTCAAGTAGACTTCATTAGACATTATCATTAGGAAACTGAATGCACAAAAAACAAATGGAATGGATTCTCTAAAGAATGGCAAGGAAAAAGAAACCCATTCCAACTAGATGATTTTTATATTGGATATAAGCAAAGTATTTTAAAATACAGCTATCATGACAGTCTTCTTTCTGTATTAAGGTGGAATTAAATATAAAATTTGTTTTAGGCATCTGTTCCTGGAAAAACAAATTTAAGCAGCCTTGTTCAGAAGTGAAGACCAGTTAAATAACTTGTACAGAGGAAACTACAAACTCCAGTAATAATTCAAATGCCAAACTGCATTGTAAAAACTCTGAATTTTCATCTGGATTTCCCCTGAAGCTTTATCTTGGGAAAAAGAAACGTAGTGGAGAGGAACATTTAAAACACACACACAATGCAGAGTTGGCTTGAAATTCTGCAGGGAAAAAGGAGTATGATATCCTTCTAAACTGGCAGTGGTTCAAATTCCATTTCTGCAAGACTAATGAAATGAGAAATGTTGTTTCAAGCTTCATGCCATGTCAGACAATATAAAACTAAAATGCCCTTGAGTTAATCAGAACAGTCTATTCAGCGTAATTCACCCATTCGAAATAGCTACCAAGCAGGCTAGAAACAGTGGTGTATTGGGCATGATTATTCTGGATAATAAATGCGCTTAATTGCTGAATTAGCATGCAGCTATGGTGCATATATGCATTCTGTCAGAAAAGGGCACTTTTCCATTTAGCTCAAACTGTACTCTTCTCTCATCTCTTTCCCCAAATTATATTTATTTCATTGCATAAATGTGTGTACGAGTGCTTAAGACTACTGGTCATACAAGCCGAAATATATATATATCTTAAGATTTTGTGCAATATCTACTTTTTCAATAGTGATATTTCCATGCCTCACTATAACAGCATTCACTATTAACTGTGTGCTATTATATGAATAAAGTAACAACCGCAAGGGTCTGAAATATAGGTTTGCTGAAATGTTCTCTTTATTGTTCTTTACAAAGCCTATCATTTCTTTAGCTGTCTTTTCAGAATACTGTAAAGAAACCTTCTTGTTCACCCTTATCTGTAGTAGCTACTTTACCATCATGATATGAGGAGATTCTTTAACTTCAGAAGCAGCTCAATATAAAGATCTCTCTTGTCAAATCACTGCTTCTTTCCTTAAGAACTCATGGTCCCTCAGGTAGTTAATTCAATTGCTTTGGTATACCAAGGTGATCTCAGTGCTGTCACTCAACACTTACCAGGCATTGTCCCGTGATATCATCGCAGGATTCCGCATGTCCAAAGCATGTGCATGGTCTACAGATTCCACCAACAATAGTTCCGTTAACTCTCCTATGCCTTGGCCAACAAGACTGTGGAAGATGAAACATTGTAAAAATTATTTCACAGGGCACTGAAAAAACACACACAAGAAAATACAACATTGAATTTTGCAAACAACAAAAAAAGAATTTGACAAGGCAGTGTTTCTCAAACTTTTTGGGCTTGTCCTCCTTTAAGCTGAGTCTGCCCTCTATCCAACACCAACCATCTGTTCTATAACAGACTGTGCTTCATAAAGTCTGGTGCTTTGTGTAATGGACTGTGGATCTGTAGGGCATGGATCCAATATGAGCATTAAAAAGGAAAACAGAACAAGAAATCTCTGATACCTTCCTAAAACCAGGATAATACTACTAAGAATAAAACAGCAGCTCTTCCTAAATAATGTTGGGAAGATGAACCAAGAATTTACCATCTACCAAATAAAAATTCACATATAATGTGAATCAACAGGGATGGTAATAAACCTATTATTGACTGGTGAGACACCACTACGTCCTGTCTTTCTGTGACACTCAATGCCCGTTTTCAAGTGGTCTGCATTGGTACACATATTATTTCCCTAGGAAAGCCCACCAAAAATCTGAGAATCACTGTGACAGAGATTATGATTGAAAATTATCAAAATATCTCTACGAAACTCATCGTCCTAGAATGGTTATTTATGTACTGACCTTAACCGAACTGGCAGGTGCAAGACTAAAGGAGGTTTTACCTTGATCTTTCTTCTGAAATGGTAAAATAAAAGCAAAGAAATGAAGAAAAGAAACAGGACAGCTTCACATACCAAGAGGTACAGATTGAAATAGTCAGAAGACAAGTGACTGAAAGGGACAGAGAGGGAGAGGAACGCCAATCATAGCTAAACTACTACTTGAGTAACCTAGGTCAAAGGTGAATAGGAAACATAACCACAGATAGAAACGAAAGAAGGCCTATAGTCTCGTTTCACAGAACCCTACTGGTGTGTGAGCTACTTCCCTATGGGACAACTCCACATTGCTGGGAATGTGTGTGAACAGGCATGTAAGAAAACTAAGGGCTTTTTTTCATTGGTTCTGACCAGTGTTCCCTCTAAGCTGAGTTAATGTGAACTAGCTCACAGTTTTTTAGCCTCTAGCTCACACATTTTTGTCTTAGCTCAGGAAGGATCGCTCCAGAGCAAACTAATTTATGCAGTAGCCAAATCACCTGCTCACAACTTTAATGCCAGTAGCTCACAACGTAGAATTTTTGTTCACAGGACTCCATAGCTTAGAGGGAGCATTGGTTCTGACCCCATACTGATTTGGTTTATCCCTTAATTTCTCCACACCTTTTTGTGGCTTTACTTCTTCTTTGTTATTCTCTCCCCCACCCCATTTTCCCCCCAGTTCTTTTAAGGCCACTTTTACCTCAATCTTTTTCTGGAAGCCAATTTCAAGTCACCTTTTCCTTCATGGGTAATGTTTCTGTCAGTTTTCTTTGTCCCACGCACTCTCACCCACCTCAAGACTACTTTTTGATGACTGGACTATGGTGGTCAAACAACTCCTTCTCCCCCTGAAGACAAGTGGTTTCATTTTCTTTCTTTAGTGCTTTTTTAAAAGGGGGGAAGGGTCCTGTGATGCCACTGACACCAACAATGATGACAGCATCCTCCCTTGAAAATCCTCATTATCAAAGACATGTGGAAGAAAATAAACTGACTCCACAAGTGTGAAAATGCAGAGGGAGGGCAGTCGTTTGGAAGAACCTTAACCAAACCAATTCCAGTGTTTGTTGATTGGCTCCCAAGAAAACCAGAAGTAAGTCAAGCAGGCAGAAAAGCCGAGTTACTATAGCATGGGGCATCTTAACCAATGTTCCCTCTAAGCTGTGAAGTCTTGTGAGCAAAAATTCTGCTTTGTGAGCTACTGGCATTAAAGTTGTGTGCAAGCGATTTGGATACTGCATAAATTAGCTTGCTCTGGAGCCATCCTCCCTGAGCTAAAACAAAAATCAGTGAGCTGGAGGCTAAAAATCTGTGAGCTAGCTCACACTAACTCAGCTTAGAGGGAACACTGATCTTAACTGATGAACAGCACACTTGAAAAAGCTTCTGCTATTAGCCACACTTTTATATTTGCAGTCTTTACACAGCTGTGTGGGATTGTACCATGATGAAGCAGTATCTGGATATATGTGTCTATGTTTGAGTATCTAGGGAGAGTCTTTATATAAAAGAGTCCATTGTTATAAATGTGTTGAGGCTTCCCATTAAAAAAAGTGCATCACATGAAAGTCAGCAAATTGCATCATGGCATTTCTCAACAAAGGTGACATATTGCAGTTGTGATTCATCAGCATTCATCTTACTGTTTCTTTTGCATTTCAAAATAAGATGCAAGGCAGCAGTTGTGCCAACCATGTATTTTACATTTGTACTTTACAAATAGTTTTACATTGCTGAATGTTCAGACCTGCACACCTTCTGAGACAAGGCACAACTGCTGCTAGGTGTAACTGGGCTGTTATTACTCTTTAAGAAAAGAAAAAGAAAGATACATGTGAACTTTATGGATTTTCAAAGGATCATGCTAAATTTGAATTCAGACCTCTTTGAGAAAGTATACCTCATCCTTGATTATAGTGGCAATGTTGCCGTTCCATCGTATTAAACATTACATCACCTCATCATGCATGGAACTTGTATGTATGCAGATAAATAAATAAATAACTTTATTTACATAAAGAAGGAGAACAATGCTATAATAGGGCTGCCAAGTCCCCCCACTTTGGAGGCCCGATTTCCGCCGCCGCGGAATCGGGCCCCGGGGGAAACCCCACCCTGGCGTGCATGTCAGATGGAGGTGACGTGATGACGCTGGGCACGCTGGGGGCGGGGCCACAGCCATCTGAGGGGGAAACTCTATGTTTCCCCCTCAGATGGCTGTGGCCCCACCCCCAGCGTGCCCAGCGTCATCATGTCCCCTCCGGCTGATGTGCATGCGGTGTGCGCGTGCAAAGTGCATGTGCTCAAGACACCGTCCGGGAGCCCCCCACCGCGGAAGAAAAAGAACTTGCCAACCCTATGCTATGAGCTGTTTTGTGTCCCTACTAGGGGGAAAATGAGGGTATAAATAGCTAAACTAAATAAATAAAGTAAATACCCTGATGGCTCAAGACATAATTTTTAAAGCATATACATTAAAATCTATTAAAATAAATTAAAAACACTTTCCTAAGTAAGCTAAGTTCCCAAACAAGATTAAATATGTATTTGCTTGTTTCATGATCTGGGCTGTGCCAGTACAGGCCTACTAGGCCCAAGGAGCCTGGCTAGCAGTAGGTGAGGCTGGGCCTACAACTCCCAGAAGCCCCTGGGAGGTTTTGGAGCCAAAATGGACCAATAGGAAAAGAGGAGGGCTGGGAATAAAAGTTCTGGAGCAGCAGGAAGAGCTTTTCTTTCTTCCAGAGGGCTGAGCTGGAAGGAAGGCTGCTGCAGGGGGGAGACCCTCACCCTGAGGACAGGGTGAGTAGTGTAAGGCTACTTGAGATGGTGAGCTAGGGACAGTGTATATTTAGACTTGTTAGGGCATTTGATTTCTTTTCTTTTCACCCACTTACTGTGTTTATTCTGCACCTTGTTGTTTGACCTCCTATAAAATAAACTTTTTTCTTGTTTCACTCTGCCTGGTCCTCACGCCTGTTATTCAGCCAAAAGGGAGGTCTGAAGGTCTTGGGAGGTACTCTGGGCCTTCTCAAAGGAACCTAAATCCAAAGTGGTGGCAGCATCAGGTGACACCCCCACCTGAGTCGTGACATGGTGGCAGCAAGAAATCAGTAAACAGTCTGATTTGTTACGTTTATTTTTATACAAATAAATCTTTTGAAAAGCTCTTCCAAAGTGAAAATAGATAAAACTATTTTATAAACTTCTTTGTGTTTATGTATTCCATTTCTGTCCTTTCCTGAACAATCCAAAGGGTTCTCGGTATCTGCATGTATTTCCAATTAATTAAAAGAGATGCAGCTAGTGGGGTCAGGTAAAAGCATTACCTTATTATCTCATTGTTCAAATTATGAACAGGATGGTCATAACAAATTCATGAAATATGTGAATCCAAGGAAGTCATTATTTTCACTTGACTTAGGGGCATGGGATTATACTAAGGCACATATGTATAAATTATTTTCTTGGAAGTAAAGCTCACCTTTCTAATGAATAACAGCTTATGAAGTACATGAAAGCAGCAGACTCATTAAAAATGGTCACACGTTACATGCTAGATATGTGCAGGATCCCTGAAAGTACCCATAGTAGTAAACTGCCAATAGCTGTGAACGGACATCTAAACAAAAATTGCGTCCTTGCCTTTGGGAGAAATTTATTCAGGAATCCTTCAGCTATGAATGCACAGGACACTGGAGGGTATAAGCATATCCATGCAACAAACTGAAAATAGTTTCTCAGTTATTTCTTCTCTCCAAGGAATCCTGAAAAGTATAGTTCCATAATGGGAAAAGGGATCTCTATTAGGAAATTCTCAGTCCTTTATCCATGGTACCACATATTGTTTATGGAAAGCCATGATGGTTAAGACAGTATAAGATTATTAATTTGCCATGTATAGAATCCATTTACCTTGTACGTAGTCCTCTCAATCACAGTTTCTGGTCTATAAATGGTCTACGAACCAAAGGGCTAAGTTAACAATGTATATTATAAAAGTACAAATATTTATTAGGATGTACACATGTTAAAACCTATACTGATAAAAATCTTTATCTAAGTATCAGACTTATAAAAACTTATCAAATATTAATACATATGATGGGTAAACACTTTCCTACCGAAGACCAAATGTGTTACGGCGTACATGCGTACATCTTAATAAATATTTGTACTTTTATAATATATATTGTTAGCTTAGCCCTTTGGTTCGCAGTCTTATCTTGGGTTGAGTTTCTCCCCCCCGCCTTCCCTATAAATGGACCACTCATGGACTATATCACTATTTTTATTTATTTTTATTATTAGATTTATAACCCGCCCTCCCCGCAATCG